CTGTGGCACTCCCAGCCTCAGCTACTGTGTGCGGGTGTGTCAGATACACAGCGAGGGGGGCAGTGTTCCTGGACCTTTCCCTGGAAGGAGGCTGGAGGTAGAGAATGGGCAGAAGGACTGCAGCCTCAGCGACTCAGAGAGGAGTGCTGTGCCTACGTTCGGTAACACTTTAGGAGTCTGGTCCTTAACTTCAGAACAAGAGGGCAAGAACTCTGGGGGAGTCTAGTCGTCGATTTTGCGCTGAGGTGCCATCAACTACAGTACAGGACTTATATACATAATAGAAGATAAAGGGGAAAACCCGAGGGGGACTTACCCACTTGCCAGGTCAGCGAGCTCGTGAGAGAATCGCCTTATCGAGCATTGTGGAGTGGGTAGGTGAAGGGTGGAATTAGCGACAGCTACTGGAGAGTGGGAAAACCTTTGCGGAGTGGGTGGAGGTCCTAGGAGGTCCATAGTAATATTGGGTAGGTAGAAATATTAATAAACGTATAAGGTGAGGATAAGAGGTACCAGAGAAGGTACCGGAGATCGGAGGCAGAGGTGAACTGGAGGTGAACCAGAGGGTATGGCGGAGGTGCAGGGGGAGGACAGACCGGAGGTGGACCAGAGGCATGGCGGAGTAGAGTGGAGGTGAGGTGGAGTTGGTATGGATATGACAAGGTGTGGGAAAGCAGTTTCCATGGAGGTTTTCTGGTTGGTTTTATAGTCAGATCTTACCTGATTGACCTTGTTCCTAGTTTGATATTCGCTATAAATTCTCCCAAGCATTCCATCTTGTTGATGCTAAGCTTGAAGTATTTTTATTAATTTTCTATCTTCATATTTGTTGTATGTAGTTGCAGAAATTTGTAAAAATTCATGAGAATTCATTAAAATTCAGGTTCTTCTATCCTCTCATTTCTACTTGTCATATGAGGGTTTTGTGATTTTTCTGGCATATTTCCACAATGAGTTTTCATAGGGTGACCATTATTTCTCCTACAACAGAGCTGAGCTATCACAGGTGGTTCCACAGGCAATCCCAGGCATTAAAGAGAAAAGGTACACACAGCACATCTGGCAGTGTAGTACCCATGTGGGGTGCCTGGCATCAGACCTGTTTGCACTACAGGTGCAAGAAGAAGAGAGTCATCCATTTAAAGATAGAGAGGAAATAAAGGAAAGAGAGAGAAAGAGAGAAAGGAAGAAGGGAGAGAGGGGGGGGCAGCATGGTGTGGTGCAGTATGCCCTGACACAAGGGCATTTTGAAGTGGAGAAGCAAACAAAGCAGAAGATCATGGGGCAAGAGGGAGACCTCAGCACACCAGGTCTTCTTACAGACCAAATCATCATTACCAGGAAACTAAGCAATGAGTGGTTCAAGAGAATCAGCACAATACCAAGTGGACATTATGAGCACATGGATCCCAAGACTAACCACAGATGGCAACAATGACTTGTATTGTGCAAGTCTGTTGGAAAACTCAGTAACTGCAAAAAGTGTAATCCCAAGTCATGAAGGGTCATGAATTCATGCAGTTTCATGAACCTGCACAGAAATTCCTGAGGATTCATGAGGATTCATGCTGGAGCGCACACAGTCATGCAGTCTCATGAAAGTTTTCATGAACTTTCATGACCAAATATAATCAGTTCAAGTTGGAAATTGACAGGACACATAATGCACCCCCATTCCCCCTTGTGAATGTTCATGAATGTGCATGACGAAGAATAGTGTCATACCTGATCCTGACCCAACTCCCAGAACTCTTCCACAAACTCTGGAGTCCCACTTCACCCCACCCTGGCCAGCCTCCAAGAGTCTACTCTACATCAGCAAACTTGGTAGGGAGCTCTCAGAGCTCTGTGATGTTAGCACTGGGCGAGGGTGGATGATCCCGGAGGGGAACCGGAGACTTAGCAAGGAGGGACCTTGGTGTTAGAAACTGGTCCGGGGTCGGCACCGAAGGTTGCCATTAGCAGGCCACTATAGGCCACGATGGCTGTGATGCCATGAACAAGGCCCGAGGGTAGGGCATTTGGCCTCAGTGACTCTAAAGGAGCGCTGTGCCCCCTAGCTGTCTCTTGGCCCTCATTTCAGACTTACTGGGGTTGCCTTGCTGGGGTCAGGACTTGGGAGTCATGGTCAAATCGATATTAGAGCTAAGGTACAATAAAGTATCATACAGGATATATATAGGGAGAATGAATGAATGGAAGCGGACCCGGGCTGAAGGCCGAGGGGTCCAGAAGCAAAAGGGAACAAAGAGCGGGGTTGGCCACACAGCGGCCAGCAATGACCGAGGGTCAAAACAAACAATAACAGATAAATAAAGGAAGGAGTGCAGGGCCGCGATAGCGGCAATGGTATCGTAGCGGCGCTGGACTTGGAGTTGGGCCGGAGTCAGGCACAGGAATGGTAGTGGCCCTGTAGGGGCCAAGTGGGCGGGGTAGAGGAGTCGCACTGGGCATGGTGCCAGAGGTGGACTCAGGGTGGGAAGGTTGGTGTGGCTGTCATATCCGTGCATACCCGACCCCGACCCGACTTCCGGACCTCCACCCTCTTCACCTCCGGAGTCATAACCTACCGCTGCCTTTCCGATACTCACCTTCGGTCTTGGCAACACACCCCTCCTCTTACCTCTCCGACCCCTTCTCCGTCCGTTCCGATACTCATCTCGGACCGAACATCGCCCTACTCGCCACCCTTCCTACAACTCCGCTCCCCCTCACCACACCTCCACCCTCCCGTCATCCCCTACGCTTTCTCCGTCCGTTCCGATATCCACCTTCGGACCTGACTACTCTTCCTTACCTGTCCCCTCTCTCCTTCCTCCGTCACTCCTCCGCCACCCTTCCGCCAAGTTACGACCATCCACCGCTGTTCTGTACTTCACACTCGGACACCGTTCGTACCTTACTCCGAGCCTCCGTCATAGTCCATACCTCGGACTTTGACTCCACCTCGGTCTTAGTCCATTGCATTGGTGACCTCATACTACGTAAACACCATTGCCAATATTCCTCGGACTTCCAACCCCGCCTCCGTAACCTCCGTAAGCTCCGCAACCCCCGAGCTTCGCGGACCGCCTCCGGCACTCTCGCCGTTTGTAATGTATTTCTCGCAATTCCCCCTCATCCCTATTTGGACTACTGCTTCCTTCTATTCTAGCCAGTTAGTCATCACCCCCACTTCCCCTCATCCTCCTGCCCCTCTGGGCCTCGCCCACTCTACCTCCTTTCGGATGTATCACAGGTCTTGCCCTATGACCTTCGGTACCGCTCCGCTCCCTCTAACCCTTTGTTCCCGTTCGGACATCTTCGTTCCGATTTGGTCACCCTTTGTTTCTCCTTGTGCTTTTGCCCCTTCCTTATATATATCGGCGCTTGTACATACTCGTCTGGTTTCAGTCCGAAATCGACCTGAAATGCCCCCAAGAGACTTCCTGCTCACCTACTGTGAAATTAAGGACCAAATGGACAAACAGCAATGGCACAGCGCTCCACTTGAGTCGCTGAGGCCAAGGTCCCTCCACGCTAAGTCTCCGATTCCACTCCGGAGTCGTCCGTTTCCGCCCATCTCTAACAGTGGCTGTGGGGAGTCGGCCAGGTGCAGGGGAGCCTAGGGGCAAGCAGGGGAGTGAGCAGGGAGTCCTCAGGGAGGATAGGGCTGAGGTCGGGGCTCGCACTCACGCTTGCATAGTGGGAATGGGCTCAGGTGGCATCAGGACAGGTGGCTAACAGGCCGGAATGCATGGCCATGACACTTGGCCTCAGCGACTCATGCGGAGCGCTGTGCCATCGCTGTTTGTCCATTTGGTCCTTAATTTCAGAGGCAGTGAGCAGGAAGTCTCTAGGGGGCATTTCAGGTCGATTTTAGACTGAGGGCCTAAAACGAGTATGTACAAGCACCTGCATATAATAGAGAGACGAAAGCACAAGGAAGTCAAAGGGGGTCCAAATTGGAAAAAAGGCATCCAAATGGGGACAAAGGGATGACAGAAGCGGAGCAGCACCGAAGGTCATAGGTTAGAACCTGTGGTACATCTGAAAGGAGATAGGGCGAAGCCCAGAGGGGCAGGAGGATGGGGTGAAGTGGGGATGATGACTAACTGGCTAAAATGGAGAGAAGCAGCAGTCCAAATAAGGATGAGGGGAAAGCACGAAAGATACATTACAACCGGCGAAAGTGCCGAGTAAGGTCCGTGGAGCTCGGAGGTTGTGGAGCTTATGGAGGTTGCAGAGGTGGGGTTGAAAGTCCGAGGAATGTTGGCAATGGTGTTTATGTAGTATGAGGTCACCAATGCAATGGACTTAAGCTGAGGTGGAGTCAAAGTCCGAGGTCGGAACTATGACGGAATCTCGAAGCAAAGGTACGAGCGGTGTCTGAGTACAGGGTATGGAGCAGCGGTGGAAGGTTGTAACTTGCTGGAGGATTGGCGGAAGAGGGGAGGAGGGAGGAGAGTGATGAGAGGAGTGGGGAGAGGAGTGGAGGAGGAATGGTGTCAGGTCCGAAGGCCAGTATCGGAGCTGACAGAAGTAGGGTAGGAGAGGGACGGAAGGGTGGAGGTGACATGAGGAGTGAGGAGGAGTAATAGGAGGAGGGTGGCGAGAGGAGTGATGTTCGGTCCGCAGGTGAGTATCAGAGCGAACGGAAGTAGGGTAGGACTCCGGAGGTGATGAAGATGGGGGTCCGGGAGTCGGATCGGGATCGGGTATGTACAGATATGACACCAACACCCTCTGAACACTGAGCCACACCTCTCCCTTCGAATCCAGTCTTTGACAATTACCAGTATTAGTATCTATTTATTTATTTCCTTATCTATTTATCTATTTATCCATTCATTCATTCATCCATCTATCTATCTATTGTACATGCCAAAAGTCGCCTGGGAACAAAAAGAGTTGCTCGCACAGGGGTGTGTGGTAGTTTTGAGCTGGGGGCATTAGTACTTTTGAGTCATCCAAATCGGACAAACCGATTTTTCTTTGGCTTGCTGTAATCCTAAAATCCTTCAATGGTTTTGTGGTTCAGAACTGGTTCCTGATACCCCCCAACTTAGAGAACCAGAACCGAACTGCAGTTTAGTTCCGGGTTCGGTTCCGGTTCGAACCGGTTTCTCGCGAACTTCGACACCCCTACCAAACCATATTCCACAGCGAAAGTGAAACTGCCACACACAGAACAAAAGGTCAATCATTGCCACATCATGGTCTTTAGTAATCAGTTCCCCACCCGATACACCAGCTGGTCGTTGAACAGTATTACCTTGTCCTGGGTATCTGACCTTCTGGTATGTTCCTGCCCAATCAAAATATGGACAGCCAGCGTGTCAGGGTCAGCGAGAATGGCAATGTCTCGAATATCGTTGTGCAGCGTTTGCACGATATTTCGTATATTAGATTTCACGAGTTTCGCTTGTCATTTGAGAGTATGGTGATGTCAGAAAGTGGGCGATATCGCGAAAAATCCACGATAACCACAAGCCATCTTCCAGGAAGTGAAGTCACCCCCCAAGCTGGGGTGCATGTCCCAGGTTGGCGAGTAATCGGCAGGCCTCTTCCGAATAGCGCTTCGCGAACTTGATACGCAGGCATTCTTCAGGGCTAACACTGGTTTGTGCAACAAGACAGGCTTTCCCCCAACTCGTGACTGATACATGAAGCCGATATCCCGGCCTGTCTTGTCTTTATAGCTTGTTGGATAGAGAAATGCGCGATCTGCTGCTTGGGCTAGGGAAGGGAGCGACTCATAGTGCGTTTCCATCCACTGGATGCCTTTCCTGAAAGCATCCAGGCTAGACGCAGCACTCATGCTGGTTTCGCCTGTCCAGAGAGGCATCAAACAGGTTCACAGGTATGTTCTTCCTATGCACAAACAGCAAAGAAGTGACCCTAGTAGTATATTGAAAATGTACAGGCGGTGACATACCTGAATCAACCATGAGAACACACGGGAAGCGGGACTGGCGGTCTTGTCCAAGCACATTTTTTAGGAATTGTGGATAATAACCAACAGCTTCAAAGAGCGCGGAACCAGAGCATGAATCATTTTTGCATCCTCTAATGGCAGGTGGCAAGATGATGACTTTGCCGTCCATTCTGTACTTAGCATTATTGGCCGTTTCCGGCGCCATGTAAATCCCGCCCTGCTGTAAAACACAAATCGCCGACCTAAGATTATCATACCATGTACACGCGGCTGCGGTGAGGGCTTGAAGAAGCCCTTGGGCCCATGCTGCTGGCGATGCTGCTCAACGACTTTTGAATAGTCGAATGGCTGGTTAATGCAGACCAGGCCTTGTGCGACGACTTTGAGCGCGCTGGGGGTGGAAAGAGCTTCTACAGGATCTTTTTGAGACGTTCTGGCCCATCATCCTCGGAAGGGGCCCTTAGCCATTTGGCAACGCGGCTGCAGCAAAAATTGGGGTGATTAGTCTTGTATACTAATAGCTGGGCTGAACCAACGAAGCCATACAACTCACAATCTGGCTGCACGTCGACTACCAAGTGGGGAAACTGCACGGGCAACGCCGTTCGCTGGCATCATCGTCATCGTCATATATAAAACAGTTCAGCCCGAGGGTGCGATATTGTGGCGAGCTTGAATGAGAGACGAGACGAATGTACGAGCGACTTGCTCGTGACGAAGTTGCTAGATATCTCTTTTGCCACCCAGCCACTTCGCGCGAAACACCTCTCCATCCGAGATCAGAGTCGCTATAGCCCGCCGCATGCCAAAATTGGCTGTCGAATCGGCGCATCTCCCCACGGCTAATATTATTTTTATTGGTGTGTTGGGTCAGAGGGTTGGGTCAGTCTGTTCTGCGTCTATTTTTACTGCAGTCACGTGTGTGTAGTGACCGTTTCAAAATCAATTTTTGGACCCCCACATGACCGGTCGCTTCACTCGCTGTTTAGGCTGCGAACCAGACACTTCGGCCAACTTCGCGACAACCAAATCGTGAGCGGTCCAGGTGGTGACCTTCTTCACTACAGCAGCCGCTAGGTACTACTTCTTGCTTCGGGCGCTGCACAATGAATTCACACCCCAGGGAACTCATGCTGTGGAATGCAGCGATATTCGGCCCAAGTAGCCTTCCTAACACTAGGTATAACGCAGCACACGACTTGCCCACAATTCAGCTCAGCGGACACTCCCTTCGAGGTGGAACATTCACGCTGCTTCTGACGCCTGGCGGGTCCTATCCCAGCAAACAAACGAGCATCCGAGTTTCATGGTCCCATCCCTGTGGTTTTGACATGACTCCTTGAATCACCCGCGTCCAGGTCATCTTATCCTGGCCCAGCATCACTTGATAGTGATTGATTACATATTTCCGCGCGCACAAGCAGCCAACTCTCCTTCTGCTGCCTCTTAGGGCCCGTGCAAATATATGCGACAGGTTTGGCAGCAATGCGATGTGCCCAGGATCGACACGTTTGCAGCGCTGATAATGGTGCCAAGGCTCGGATATTGGATCGCCAGAACCCCGCAGATGTTCCGGAGCAACGCCCTCAAATGACAGCGGGGGAAGCGGATGGGGGAATGAGGCATTTCCTGCTTCGATTTTCGCGCGCAGGATCGCAATTTCGGGCGCAGAGTCAGCTGAGCGCGACGATCCAGGCAAGTAAGCAGCGTTAGTCGCGAGCCAGGCCAGAAGTGGGAATGGGCACACTTGCTGCCAGCCCAAATCCTTCTAATCGACCAGCAGTTATCCCGCAGTTAACGATCTTGAGCGGCATTATCCTGGGCATGGAGACGTGCGGGTCAAGACAAATTGGATGGCGGAAGCGCCACGGAGATGGGGGCAGCGGCAGCGTCGTTCGAGCAGGAGCCCGTGCCGGGGTGGAGATGGTGGCGCGGGAGGTGTGGAAGGCTCAGGCAGAAAGGCTCAGGGGTGCGGGCTCAGGGAGTTAAGCGCCAGGTGGCCTGCTGCCGCAGACGCTTGTGCAGCCGCTGGTCAAAAAGCGGGAGAAACACCCGGCGATAGGAAGGAAGACTCGAGTGTGGAGAGTCGGCACCTGCATTTGCCTGCATTTCCTACTAGCCATGTGGCTGCCCTTGGTGTGGGCGGCGCTGCGACACCAGCCTAAACTGGCTGCCCCCCGCGGCCCTGGGTGCTGAGAGTTGTCGGGCTGACAGGCTGCCGCTAACCCGGCAGCGCTGGCTAATCGCAAGGCATGCTCACCCGGCTAAGCTGGGGCTCCAGCGCTGCTACTCCCCCCGCTGCGGGCTTCGCCAGGCCACGGGGGTGTGGGGAGAGAGCGCGGGCTGTAAGCCGCAGGCAGCGGGGGTGCGCAGCCTGTGCTGGGCTGAAGTGTGCTGCTGCTGCAGAGCAGCAGCCACTCGGCAGATGTTGGCAGGCAGTGCAGGTCTAATAGTGCGCCCCATCTGGAATGCTTGTAGGCAGTTCTCATAAAGGACCATTCGCGAAATAGGGCAATTGGGTAAAATTTGTGCCTCGCTGGTAACAGCAGATGCTGGTTAGAAGGGAACTGGCTATATCCAGCCCCTTATAACTAACTATTGTGGTTTTGCAGGAGTTCTGAAGGGTTAGAAACCTCATGTAGGCCATCAATCTCCACATTCTCATCATCCATTGGGTCTCCCCCACATCTTGACTTGGCTGCTGCTGCACATTTGTACATACCCAAGTGAAAACAGGGCGCGGGACATAGCCAGGGCGCTTTGAAGTTTCTTGAAATGCATCCACTATCTGCTTGGAAAATGTGAAAGCAATTGCTGTGCTCTGGACATGTTCACACAGTGTTGTCCCATGGCGGTGAAGTGGGTGGAATGCTAGGATGGTGTCAAGTGCCCCGCGCACAATGATGCCAAGACTAACATTGGCAAAATCAGCTCCTGCATGATCTACACCAGGTTCCACTATGCGGGATGATGTGTGTGCCACCACCCAGTTGATGTGTGCATTGTCTGTGTGGCAAGGACTAGAGTATCTTCAGTTTACTTCCCAGATAATGTGGGAGCACTCACGCCACATAGTTGGATGCATAATATACTTCAGGTGGTGGGCGCTCAACAGCAGGGAAGTTGTAAACTTTGCCATTGAATTCAAATGAGTAGCCCTTGTCTGTTACAGAGAAATTTAGGCTGATTGTGTTGTCTATTCAGTTAGAGATGCTGAATACTCACCACTGCCATCAATAGTAGGTGAAAAAAATGCTGGGATGCCCAGGCTTGTAATCCCACATGCAAGTTCATTTGTGATCTCAATAGGAAGGTTGGCTGCTAACAATGCCCAAGTCGCTGCAGCAGCTCCCAAAAGCTCCCCATCACTTTTTCTAAGCTCACTCTTGGTATACCTATTGTGGAACTTTGTATGACCCAATTCAATAGTATCAGGAGAACGCTTGTGTCGAGCTCCAGCACTGATTCCAAATGCATATATCTTCCCATGATGAGAGGGCTAGTGCAGCATTTCAGCAGAGAATGAGCAGATACTCAACATACATACATGCAAATTGCGGCGCTCAAGAGCATGCTCATTATTGATTTGCTGAAGACGTTCCAACAATGCCTTGCCAGTTGGTGACAAGTTTGTTGCATTGCGCAGCACAAGAAGCTCTATATCTCCAGTGCCTAGAAATAGATGTTAGTAGAAATTATATAAACATCAATTTCTCATACACTTGTTCAGGACAAGATGTGAATGCTCCCTGTCTAATATTTTCCACCCTTCTTCCTTTTTCCCGATATATGTAACATTGGGGAACCTTGCTGGATCTGGGTGTGGTGGCATGCCTTCTGATTCATCAACAAGCCATGTAGCAGGTTTCTTTTTGATGTGAGGGAATTTGTAATCCAAAGCTGGATCAAATTCAACATAATGGACCTGTAAATCCAGCTCTTGAGCTTGTTGAATCAGGGTCTCTTTATCTATGCGCCGCTTCAGGTCCAAATCCTGCACCTAGTGGGGTAGAATGCGATGCAACAGTGTGATTCTCCAGAGTAATAGGCCTTACCACCCGCTGTTTCGCCCATCGGCTTGCTTTGACCTCATCTTTGAGTATCTTGACATGCTTCTGAGCAACACATAGATATTGAAATGTCTTGACACCCTTGAGTTTCTCTGGCCCATTGCGAATGACATCATCGATCTGCTGCTGTTCATACAGTCCTGCATTAGGCTTGATCAGGTGCACTGAGGACAAGAATATTACCTTCTCAACCTTGCACTCAGCAGCTAGAAGGATGAGGACTACATCCCAGGCAGCTGTAGCATCATCCCAGTTTGTTGTTTTGAACACTTGGTCGAGGGATGAGGCACATATTTCAATGCAGCTTTGCACTCCAACACAGCAGTATTCGTAAGTACTCTATCCAAGCAGTGTGCCACATACACTTTGTTGCAATATTTCGCACTTTTTTTGGCTTCGGCTCAGAAGACATTGCAGCAGAGAGTTGACAAAGTGATATCATAACACAGCCTCAAGTCACATGACAGCAGCATGAGAACATCAGCCTAACAAGAATGTGGAACTTGGTGCAACCACTTGTTCCACCATGTGGAAAGCCTTATATGCAGCACATAGGCCAACAGACAAGTGACATGCTGCTGTTAAACTCACAGTCGGTGTGTTGACCTGACCCAGAATGAGGGCAGAGGGAGGGGGTGGTGTAGGAGAAATAATGGGCACCCTATGAAAACATGTTATGAAATTATGCTGTGGAAACACCATTGACACTGTGGAACAGGAAAGGATGAGTAACAAGGAGATGTAGATTTCCTTGGAATTTTTACGATTTTTTTTATGAATTTTTATGACAATTACCAATGAATTCAAACATAGAAAATCAACAAAAATACTTCGAGCTTAGCATCAATAGGATGGAATGTTCAGGAGAATTCACAATGAATAACTAAACAAGAATGGAGTTATTCGGAAAAGATTTGACCAAGTACTCTTTAATAATGATAAACGAGTGAAATGGTTCAAATTTAGAACAAAATACTTGGTCGTAGTTAAGAATTGAACAAACAAATGTGTTAGAGCTCTCTGCTTTATTAGTATATTTTTCCCTAAAATTCCCACCATGGTCCATCGTAGTTTTGTGGTTTTTTTGTAGTTTTTTGTCCATTTCCCCTGGTTCCTGCTCGTATTATTGCATCCTAGTCCTTCATATGTAGTGTTTGTTGTTATAATAAGTCATCCTTGTCACGAACCCACCCAGGGAAGATCCGAAACACTACCCAGGTGGGTGTGTCTGATGGAGCTCGATGTTCCAGGTCGTCTGACTGTCATATCCATACCAACTCTGCCCAACCTCCGATCTACTCCACCACTGTGTTCCCCTCTGGTTTGTCCTCTCCCTCATCTCCACCATAACCTCCAGTCCACCTCACACGGTAATCTAATTGTGGCACTAAAGACAAGCTTGAGGGGGGAACGAACGTGTTGAATGCTCACTGTCGTCCTCTGTCTGTGGCTTTCGGCCTGTCACAAAGTCAGGTAGGTGTCTACTTATTGGGATGAGTGTTGACGCACCGGGCAACTTGACGAGCAGTGCCTCTCCAGCTAAGATGTTCAAGCCTGCTATTTTCCGACTCGGAAGGAGTTCTTTAACCCTCATATTAGAGAATGCCTCGCTGACTAGCTCCTCAAGCACTTCATGATCATTAACGACGAAATCAGCTGGTGAGTTTGCAAATCTCCACACTTCGAGCTCGAACGCAGCAGTGTCGTCAAGGCGAGGCGACCCCTTGGCCTTGACCTTCTCCACCAAGTCATCAACATCGGCGCCGGAAGATACTTCGACCTTGAATGGCCGGCCAGTAGGCCTGTTATTGTGATTGACCACAAGGCACCAGACTTCCATGACAGTGAACCAGACACAATAAACTCGGCCAACTCCGTGACAATTACATACAGAGCAAATCGATAGGTCAAATCGTGAGCGGTCCGAGGTGTTGACCTTCTTCACTCTAACAGGCTACAGCGGCCGCTAAGTACTATTGGGGTGCTGCACAATGAACCTATTCGAACTTAGGCCACGATGGAACATTCAAGCTGCTTCTGACGTTCGATGAGTCCTATCCCAACAAACCCGCCACCGTTGCCAAATATGCTCCATCCGAACGTTTATGCGAACGGAGAGCTTTGGCTGGTCACCTACCCACGATGTCGCTGCAGTACTGACGAGCATCCAAATGTTTGTTTCACGATCCCATCGGTATGGGTTTCGTTAGTTTTGACGCAAACCCTCATCCAGATCATCTTATCCTGCCAACATCATTTGAGAGTGATTGATTACGCATGTACAAACAGTCAGCTCTCCTTTAGGATTCATGTAAATGACAAGTCTGGTAGCAATGCGATGTGCTCAGAGTCGACCTCCCCCAAACCCGTGTCAGACAGATGCTAAGTTAAGAGTTGATAATGGTGCCAAGGCTAGGATGTTGGATCACCCATAGATGGTCCGAAGCAACGCCCCGAAAATGACGACGGAGGAAGCAGACGGAAAGGATGAGACATTTCCTGCTTCGATTTTTGCGTGCAGGATCGAAATTTCGGGCAGAGTCAACTGAGCGTGACGATCCAAGCAAGTAAGCAACGTTAGTCGCGAGCCATTGAAACAAGAGGTCAGAAGTGGGGATGGGCATACTTACTGATAAGTCCAAATCCTTCTAATCGACCAGTGGTTCTCCCGAAGTGAGCGACGTTATTCCGGGTATGAAGATCTACTGAGTTAAAAGACAAATCAAATGATGGAAGCACTTGAACATGGAGACAGCGGCAGCGACGATCGAGCGAGGGGCCCATGCCGAGATGGAGATGGCGGTATGGGCGGTATAGGAGGCTCAGGCAGAAAGGCTCAGGGGTGCGAGCTCAAGGAGCGTTTAAAAGTGAGTGACACCCAATGAAAGAACATCGGAAAATCAGCCAATCGGCCATAAATCGGCAATCCAACCCTCAAAACCCCAGCGGAATCGACGCAAAAGCCGAGCACGACGCAGCCTGTCATCACCAACCCCCACGGGTCATCGATTCCGCGAAAATCGGTGAAATTGCCCACAAATCCAGAATGTGCAGCACACAGTGACCCGCCACCACAGACGTTGTACAGTCGCTGATCAGGAGTCGAGAGAAACATTCGATGGTAGAATGGAAGACTCGAGCGTGGAGAGTCTGAAGCGCTTGAGCCAAAGAAGTTGAGATGGCGAGTTGGTGGCGAGATCGAGACAAAGATATGGGGGAGCCGATACTTACGTCGTCGAGGGGATGAAGCGACTGGGCAATCATGCCTCAGGACCGGTAGCGTTTCTAACGCTAGGAAGGGCGAGTGGGGCGCACGGTCAGATGCAATGACCGTAGCAAGCAGGTGGGCAGATGCTAAAGACATTGTCGTTGTTGTTGAACTCTTGTTTGTTGAAGCGTGTAATGTCGAGATCGATGAACCGGCAACTGTGGACACGTGGGCTTGGGCGGATATGAATGATGCGAATTGAGGAATGGGGGGATCAGATGTGGGGATAGGTTCTAAGGGCGTCGCAGAACGTCAGAACGGCGAGTTAAAGGGGGGAGAAAGGCATGGAAAGGGGGAAAATTATGACCAACGCACCAAAAATCAGTGACCAGCCAAAACTCGCCCATCTGACCTTCCAAACTGAAGCAAAGGGCTTGGGGCAAAGCAACCGCCACCACATAATTCATCCCCCCGTCGACAAAATCGCTCGAACGGCAGCAGATCGTCTGCCAGCTTAGGATGAAGCTAACGTAAGATCCGGGCCGATGGCACAAAGGACCGGCCAAATCGGCCAAAAATGACACAGAAGGCCGTCACGAAGCAGCCCACCAAAGACGCCTACGGCCAAAATTGCCCATGGATTCAGATAGAGATCCGAGGCAAATGCGCATTGGACCAACGTGAGGTGTTGAAATGGAGGCTAAGGGCGTGCACAAAAGATCATAGACACCATCAATGTGATCGCCAGAAAATCAAATGAGAGTCTGGAAATGCGGTTGAGCGCAGATAGGGCAGAAAGTGAACCAGAAGCGGAAAAATTAAGTTCGTACGGAGTCGAACTCTCATCAAAGGGATTCCCCAACAGGATCTGATACGGAAACTTCAGCGGGCGAGACTGATATGGACGATTCAGTGGGCGATACAAATGGCGACGAATCGAGACCGACGTTTTCAACGGCAAGAGACAGCGTTGAGTCAGTCTGTTTTGCTGCCTTGCCCAACCTCAACGCGATTGTTGACAAAAGTGGGAAAATTGGGGTTGGTAGAAGTCATCTGAAGTGTCGGCTTCGTAGATATTCTGAGTTGAGAAGGGGTTTGTGAACGGGAATACGCTGGGGGTCGTCGTTCAAGTTGCCGACGGTGACTGTTGTAATAGTTGAGCGTGACCTACCGTGTGTCATGTCATGTGCAACGTTGATAGAGTAAATTGTTAATCAAGGAGTGCTTGAGAGAAGATATATCAACCTGAAGGCTCGATGGGGCACTTGGTATGTTACGCGGAGGATTCCGAAACGCCTGAGAGGGCTTGTGTTCGAATCCTCAGGTGTTCATCTAATTTCCCGTTGTTTCTTTGTCTTGTTGCTGGTTTCTCCTGGGCTCCCGTGATCTCCTTCTCGCAAAATCTCCTATGGGTCATGTGCCACCTGAAGGTGCACATGTGCAGATAGAGAGAGGGCTCGTGACCTCTTCTCCCCTCTTGAAGGAGAGGGGAAGGTTGGGGTCCAAAAAGGGAAGTAGCACATGTGATAAAATAAAAAAAATAATCATAAAAAACCAATAAAAAGGGGAGCAGACCCAAGCAGACCGGTTGCAGACTGGCAGACCGGTGGCAATAGGCTATTTCCATGGTCGAAAATATACTTTTTTTTTTTTTTTTTTGGGGAGAGTCACAATTTTTGTGACTCAACCGGTGATGCATACTCTGTTCCTCTAGGGGGAACAGAACGCCTCTGTGACAACATTTTGTTACAATATTGTGACACAAACGGTGATGCATACTCTGTTCCTCCAAGGGGAACAGAAGTGCATCTGTGACAACTTGTGTCACAATTTTTGTGACCAAACCGGTGATGCGTACTCTGTTCCTCCAGGGGGAACAGAAAATGCAGTGACGGCTTGTGTCACAATTTTTGTGACCAAACCGGTGATGCATATCCTCTAGGGGGAACAGAATGCCTCTGTGACAATATTTTGTTACAATATTGTGACACAAGCGGTGATGCATACTCTGTTCCTCCAGGGGGAACAGAAGTGCATCTGTGACAACATTTTGTTACAATATTGTGACACAAGCGGTGGTGCACACTCTGTTCCTCTAGGGGGAACAGAATGCCTCTGTGACAACATTTTGTTACAATATTGTGACACAAGCGGTGATGCATACTCTGTTCCTCCAGGGGGAACAGAAGTGCATCTGTGACAACATTTTGTTACAATATTGTGACACAAGTGGTGGTGCATACTCTGTTCCTCCAGGGGGAACAGAAATGTGCAAGCCAAAGTAAAACTTGCTAGAGTGCCCTACTGCTTGATGCCCTAGCGCTAGGGCAAGCTGAACCTGGTCCCTAGGAATTTTTTGACCCTAGGGCAGGATGACCCAGGTTAGGGCTAGGGATCCTGCCCTAGGGATTTTTCAAACCCTGGAACCCTAGGCCCCCTCTTAAAGCGGGAACCTCCGGGTAACTGCTTACACACCACCGTAAAATACACTATCTTGTATCACTTACGGCCTTGTGTGCTGAGCCACCCTAAGACCTCACAAGATTGCACCAGCAACAGACGCCTGACTGCCTCTATCCTTATGCTTTAATTTTTATTTGTATTGTCTGTGAATCGTTTAACCATAGACCCCTAATCACTTTTATTGTCTTTGTCTTCAGAGATCGACTCTGAAGGGCCTCCACTTCCTTTGAGTTTCTCAATTGTATTTCTTGTGTTGTGAGGAAAAGTTATGAATTTGATTACAGTCATTCACCCCTCAATGAGACACACTCCCCAATGATAAATCACCACATAACTTCCGAGCCCCCCCACCCTTTGTGATGAGATTTGGCATGTATATAAGTCGTTGCTAGGACTACTTATGTACCGAGTTTGATGTCAAGCGGGCAAGAAGTAAAGGAAAAAATCGAGGAAACATAGGGAACTTGGGTGTGAGGAGTCGCCATGCTTGCAACTTAACCACTCCAGTTTCATTGCTCTCTTCATCTTACCAATAGCTAGCCAGACAGCTAGTGAGCAAAAGGCCAGTGTTACACGTGCCAGTATTTGTTTGTTTTGATGAGACACGGAACCTAAGTCGGAAGCATGTTTTCATCCGTTACCCGAACAATCTGTAAATTAAATCACCATTCCCACATCCCCCGACCCCAATATTGCTTTGCTTGCTTCTTTTGACAAATGGTCCGGCATGCCAACTCTTTGGAGCGCCGTAGGCAGCTTGCAGCTGAGGCAGCAGAGCTGCACATGCGGAACACCGTCATTTCATATAGATCTCAGGTCCTGGATGCAACACAAAATCACAAAAAAGCTCCCAGCACCAGGGAACATGCTTCTAATTGTGATGTTTCCTATTCTACATTCATGCGGAGGCTGAGTGGTGGGAAAAGTCGGCTCGAGGCCTCAATAAACCGGTCGTGGCTGAATCAGATTGAGAGTGACACCCTGGTGGAATTCCTTCTCCTTATGTCTGACCGTGGATTCCCTGCTACCCGTGATCGTGTGAAGGAATATGCCTTGGAAGTTGCCCAGATATGCCACCCAAACCTTACTGGGCTCGGTAAAAATTGGGTTGATGGCTTTCTAGTACACAACAAAAACCGACTTGATGCCAAGTGGAGTACCAACCTTGA